GCACGAGTTAATAAATCGGTTACATAAGTACCATTGCCTTCATGTACCGGCTTAAGATTGTCACGAAAATCATGACCCCTTGAATAATTTTTACCCTGGAATTTAATTTTTTTTTTAATAATTTCTCTACCATCTTTATCATAATCTTTCCACTTACAAATTGTTCCATAGTTTGATCGTAATAGTCTACATATGATCCTAAATAACCATAATGTTGATCGAAGCCTCTTAAAGTGGGCGTATAAGCCTTGCGTGACATGCCCAAATGCCATTTTCCTATTAGCGAGGTATAGTAGCCGTTATTGCGAAATATTTCCGCCATTGTGGTCTCGTTCAAAGGTAAACTCCACGGCTGATCATTTACTATGACATAATGTTGCATGCCTGTGTTAATGGGATATTTTCCTGTCAACAGAGCAGATCTGGATGGTGTACACATGGAGGGAGTGTATAAGTTATTGAGAATTACACCACTATAGGCCAAGGCATCTATGTTGGGTGTGAGAAACTCATTGGAACCACGGAAACTAACATCATCGAAGCCCTGGAATAAAAAATGGCAGTGTAAATCATTTGATTAGAACTGAACTAGAATTGAACTAGAACTGAACTAGAACTGAACTAGAAATGAACTAGAACTGAACTAGAACTGAACTAGAACTGAACTAGAACTGAACTAGAACTGAACTAGAACTGAACTAGAACTGAACTAGAACTGAACTAGAACTGAACTAGAACTGAACTAGAACTGAACTAGAACTGAACTAGAACTGAACTAGAACTGAACTAGAACTGAACTAGAACTGAACTAGAACTGAACTAGAACTGAACTAGAACTGAACTAGAACTGAACTAGAACTGAACTAGAACTGAACTAGAACTGAACTAGAACTGAACTAGAACTGAACTAGAACTGAACTAGAACTGAACTAGAACTGAACTAGAACTGAACTAGAACTGAACTAGAACTAACTAGAACTGAACTAGAACTGAACTAGAACTGAACTAGAACTGAACTAGAACTGAACTAGAACTGAACTAGAACTGAACTAGAACTGAACTAGAACTGAACTAGAACTGAACTAGAACTGAACTAGAACTGAACTAGAACTGAACTAGAACTGAACTAGAACTGAACTAGAACTGTACTAGAACTGAACTAGAACCGAACTAGAACTAAAGTAGAACCAGAAAGAGTTTCTAAATTTTCAATTTATTAGCTTTAACTGGTCCTGCGAGCTTAAAGTAATTGATGTAGGATTATACTCTTTACTTTCACTTTGAATCGTTTTAAGTTCGAAGGACTATTTTGATTTCAATTTCAACATTTCTTTAAAAGAACTTACCATATCATCTGCCATAATGATAACAATATTTGGTTTAGTGTTTCCATCCCAGGCTTGGCACACATTTGTGATTAATAATATTAAGGCAAATAATTGATAAAGCCTCATCATGTTTTTTAATGAAGATTTGATAATTTCTTTTAAAACATTGAACCTTTAAAAACAAATTAAAATATCAAAGCTGGTTACAGGTGGCGTCTAAAAACAAAGAAAAAATTAGCACGTTTTTATTGTAAAGAAAAGTTTAATTTATGGAAAGTTATATTAAAATCTCTAAATTGCTTATAATTTATTAAATAAAGTTTATACATATTTTTACTACAATTTAGTGATTTGGCAAAAAACGAAAATTATTTAATTTTTAGCTAATGAATAATTGATTTTTAAGTGAAGCTATACATATATTTGGTAAAAACAGTTAATGAAATTTTAAAACTTATTTAACGTTTCGGTTAACTATAATTAGCAACAATGTAATATTGTTTAAATTATCTAAAGGTAATTAAGAAAATAGTGAAATATTTATGGTTTGAGTTAGTATTTCAGGGTTTTAAAAAATAGGTCCTTCGAACCTGAATAAGTTAAAATTAATAAATTTGTATAGTTATTGTTTTATAGAGAATTTAGGTTTTCTTTAATTTATTTGAATTTTTCGTTCATGTTTAATTATGTTAAATTTTTTTTATTTGCTGTAAATTTTAAACTTAAAAAGTATTGGTTTTAAATTTTACATTGGAAAGATTTTAAAGGTTATTTAGCAGTTGTTTTTGTTGTTATCAGTTCATTATAAAACACGAAAATCTCACGTTATGGTAATTAAATTTTATTTTATATTTAAGATTTTTTTTTGTTATTGCTGTTATTTTTAAATATATACTAAAAGTTTGCTATAACAGTCAATAATTGTTGTAGATAAATTTCTTCTTTTCAAAGTGTCAATGAATTTTTTGATTTTAAAGTAACAAGTTTTTTTTTTTGCCGATTTAAACAAATTTAAAGATTAAAACAACAAAATTTTTATTATAAAAATAAATTCCCACAACTGTCTGGCTATGGGTTTGCTCATGATAAATATTTATTAAATACACAATTTAAAATTTTATTTTTAACAAAATTTTATGGAAATTTTATAAAAAAAAACACCGATAATATCTTTTTAAATAAATTTTGTTTTTCTAAACAAAATTTAACAATTAAATTTAATTCAAACAATACTATTGTTTAAATATCGATTTTTTTTCTAATAGAAAATCTAATAATACATTAAAAATGGGTTTTTTTGGTTTTAATTTTATAACAATTAAATAAATTTGTTTTTCTCTAAATTTCCGTCACTTTATAATAAACTTATACACGCACCCTCGTTTCTATTTATCACTCACTATCAATTACTATCGTTATTTTGCTTTTATTTTGTTAAATTATTAAAACAAAAATAATTAAATTAATTTACTGCCTAGTTAATGCACTCTTGGTTTAAATTCTCGTTGAGGAATGACTACCGCCTCACAATTGTTAATCGTTTTATGGTTTTTGTAGTTAGTTAATCGTAGTTAAAAGAGATCAACAAAACATTTTTATCTCCCGCTCAATTTTAACTTTGATTTTTTTGTTTACATATTTGGCAAATGTTTTTTAAAATTTTAAATCAGAAAATTGGAGAGATAAAGAGAGTTTAAGAGCTATAAATAGTAGGTAGTTAAGACATGAGTTTAAAATTCTAAATCCCTATAGGTAAAAAATTGTTTAGTGAAAAACCGTAAATTTTTGGGAATTAAAGAAATTTTAGTGAAAATTCGTATTTTTAGTCATAGAAAGGATTTTAAGGAGAAAAAATAAATTTTAGTGAAAAATAAAATTTTTAGCTAAAAATCGTATTTTGAATGAGAAAACAAATTTTTTGCAAAATTTGAAAATTTGAATTATTTAAAAAATTTAATTTTTAGTGTCAAAATGAAATTTTTAGTGAAAAATCGTATTTCACAGAAAATGAAGCAGAACTGAACAAAAACTGAACTGGAACTGAACGAGAATTGAACTAGAACTGAACCAGAACTGAACTAGAACTGAACTAGAACTGAACTAGAACTGAACTAGAACTGAACTAGAACTGAACTAGAACTGAACTAGAACTGAACTAGAACTGAACTAGAACTGAACTAAAACTGAACTAGAACTGAACTAGAACTGAACTAGAACTGAACTAGAACTGAACTAGAACTGAACTAGAACTGAATAGAACTGAACTAGAACTGAACTAGAACTGAACTAGAACTGAACTAGAACTGAACTAGAACTGAACCAGAACTGAACTAGAACTGAACTAGAACTGAACTAGAACTGAACTAGAACTGAACTAGAACTGAACTAGAACTGAACTAGAACTGAACTAGAACTGAACTAGAACTGAACTATAACTGAACTAGAACTAAACTAGAACTGAACTAGAACTGAACTAGAACTGAACTAGAAATGAACTAGAACAGAGCTAGAACAGAACTAGAACAGAACTAGAACAGAACTAGAACAGAACAAGAACAGAACAAGAACAGAACTAGAACAGAACTAGAACAGAACTAGAACTGAACTAGAACAGAACTAGAACTGAACTAGAACTGAACTAGAACTGAACCAGAACTGAACTAGAACTGAACTAGAACTGAACTAGAACTGAACTAGAACTGAACTAGAACTGAACTAGAACTGAACTAGAACTGAACTAGAACTGAACTAGAACTGAACTATAACTGAACTAGAACTAAACTAGAACTGAACTAGAACTGAACTAGAACTGAACTAGAAATGAACTAGAACAGAGCTAGAACAGAACTAGAACAGAACTAGAACAGAACTAGAACAGAACTAGAACAGAACTAGAACAGAACTAGAACAGAACTAGAACAGAACTAGAACATAACAAGAACAGAACAAGAACAGAACTAGAACAGAACTAGAACAGAACTAGAACAGAACTAGAACTGAACTAGAACTGAACTAGAACTAGAACAGAACTAGAACAGAACTAGAACAGAACTAGAACAGAACTAGAACAGAACTAGAACAGAACTAGAACAGAACTAGAACAGAACTAGAACAGAACTAGAACAGAACTAGAACAGAACTAGAACAGAACTAGAACAGAACTAGAACAGAACTAGAACAGAACTAGAACAGAACTAGAACAGAACTAGAACAGAACTAGAACAGAACTAGAACAGAACTAGAACAGAACTAGAACAGAACTAGAACAAAACTAGAACAGAACTAGAACAAAACTAGAACAGAACTAGAACAGAACTAGAACAGAACTAGAACGGTACTAGAACAGAACTAGAACAGAACTAGAACAGAACTAGAACAGATCTAGAACAGAACTAGAACAGAACTAGAACAGAACTAGAACAGAACTAGAACTGAACTAGAACTGAACTAGAACTGAACTAGAACTGAACTAGAACTGAATTAGAACTGAACTAAAACTAAACTAGAACTGAACTAGAACTGAACTAGAACTGAACTAGAACTGAACTAGAACTGAACTAGAACTGAACTAGAACTGAACTAGAACTAACTTAGAACTGAACGTGAAGTGAATTTAGATAGAACTGGACTGAAAGTAAGCGATTGCATATGTTTTAAATAAAACCCTTACAATTTTGTTTACAATTTTATTTATTTTCATTCGTATCTCAGAACACCCAAAATTTCTTGCATTTTGATTTTGTTTTGTACTAGAATCCAAATGCTCCCAAATTTTATATTCCCACCTTGCAAGGTGGCGAATTGTAATCGCAATCCAAAATATCTAAAAATAAAGTGTTATATTAATTAGTTTCTTTCTAAACTTCTAAAACTCCCAATAATATCACTTACAATTTGTTATTGGTTCTTGCAAATAATTCACCCAAGTACAGTCATGTCTCGAAGGATCATTATTAATTTGACTGCCACCTACACGCGGTGTTATGGCCAACTGTCTTAACTCTTCCAATCTCTGTTTCATTTCATTTAATTTGTCTTGATATTCCGGATTTCTTGCCAAATTATTTTGTTCGCAAGGATCTTGCCAAATATTGAAAAGACATTCTTCTTGCAAAGGATTACAAGGTGACTTCAATTGTAGATTACATTCTAGTTCAGCTTGAGTTCGAAGACTTTGAATTTTTGAGGCACTTAAAGGGTATTCGTCGAATTTTGCTACAGCTGATGAAACTAAAGAATTTTGTATTACATTGGCATAGTAAGCTTCTCGGGGATCGGTAATATTGGGATTTCTTTGTAATAAAACATGATCATATTGTCCTTCTATCGTTGTGCCATTAATATATTTGTACTGTCCTTTCATAAAGGATTTCACTTGATATATATCATCCAGCATGTGCACAATTTCCCTATCACTATTGGAGCTTGTGAGAGTGTTCGTTTTGGAGGTTACCAAATCGGGCCAGTGATTTAAGCCGTCCAGTTGTAGTTGCCAAGTGTCCAAGGTAATTTTGGCAGCAGCAGCTAAAGTAGGCATAAAATCGCCCACGTAAATGGGTGGTTGATATATAGAGCCCTTGTTTTTCAGTAAGGGACTCCAGATAGCTCCTGTTACACGTATGCCACCCTCCCAGGGAGAATTTTTTTGCTTTAAAATTACAAATATTGAGTATTTTTGTTTATTTTGTAGTAATTCTAAAGAATTACCCCTCTTAAAGGCCAATTAGATCCAGTATTACTAAATAATCCCACAGAAGGTGCTCCGTTATCGGAATAAAATATAATAATAGAATTCTTCAATTGATTTGTTTTATCCAAGGCCTTGACAATTCTGCCCACACTTTCATCCAGTTTAGAGGCCATGGCTAAATAAATGAAAAATGTTCTATAAATATTACTCTCTCTTTGCCTATAGGTTTCACTTACCGGCATATGTTCTTCTCCTGATATCTGGTATATAGTCAAACTTCTTAATTTCATCTTGTGGCGCCTGTAAAGGTTCATCATCGTTGGCTGTATGCATAGCCAAATGATTGACCACTAATAATAAAGGTTGTCCTTTATTCTTCAATATAATACTTTCCGCTTCACGGGTAAAAAGATCGGTAACATAGCTGCCCTCTGGGGGACATTCCAACTCCATATTACGGCGAAAATCATAACCCAAACTATAATTGCTCTAAAATTATATAACTTATTAGTTTCAGAAAGTTTTTCAGATATTGAATTCTCTCAACTTACCGGCATTTGAGATCTCATGCGGAAATAGTCTATGTAAGCTCCCCAATATCCATAATGAGTATCAAATCCCTTATAGGTGGGTGTAAATTCTTTGCGTCCCATCCCTAAATGCCACTTACCCACCAGATTTGTTGAATAACCTTCCGCCTGAAAGATTTCAGCCATGCTAGTGATATTATCTAAAATACCCCAGGGATCCTCATTGAGTATAACGTAATGTTGGGTTCCTATAGAAATCAAAATTTTGTGAAATCTTTTAATAAAATTTAATGCATTTTAAACATACGAACCTGTGCGTATGGGATAAAGTCCTGTCATTAGAGCCGCTCTGGAGGGTGTACACATGGGTGGTGTATACAAACGATTCAAAATTTTTCCATGATAGGCTAAGGCATCAATGTTGGGTGTCAGAAATTCTTTACCTCCACGAAAACTGGTGTCATCAAAACCCTGTTCAAATAAATTCAAGGTATTAAGAATAGAACTGAACTAGAACTGAACTAGAACTAAACTAGAACTGAACTAGAACTGAACTAGAACTGAACTATAACTGAACTAGAACTGAGCTAGAACTGAACTAGAACTGAACTAAAACTGAACTAGAACTGAACTAGAACTGAACTAGAACTGAACTAGAACTGAACTAGAACTGAACTAGAACTGAACTAAAACTGAACTAGAACTGAACTAGAACTGAACTAGAACTGAACTAGAACTGAACTAGAACTGAACTAGAACTGAACTAGAACTGAACTAGAACTGAACTAGAACTGAACTAGAACTGAACTAGAACTGAACTAGAACTGAACTAGAACTGAACTAGAACTGAACTAGAACTGAACTAGAACTGAACTAGAACTGAACTAGAACTGAACTAGAACTGAACTAGAACTGAACTAGAACTGAACTAGAACTGAACTAGAACTGAACTAGAACTGAACTAGAACTGAACTAGAACTTAACTAGAACTGAACTAGAACTGAACTAGAACTGAACTAGAACTGAACTAGAACTGAACTAGAACTGAACTAGAACTGAACTAGAACTGAACTAGAACTGAACTAGAAATGAACTAGAACTGAACTAGAACTGAACTAGAACTGAATTAGAACTGAACTAGAACTGAACTAAAACTGAACTAGAACTGAACTAGAACTGAACTAGAACTGAACTAGAACTGAACTAGAACTTAACTAGAACTGAACTAGAACTGAACTAGAACTGAACTAGAACTGAACTAGAACTGAACTAGAACTGAACTAGAACTGAACTAAACTGAACTAGAAAGAACTAGAACTGAACTAGAACTGAACTAGAACTGAACTAGAACTGAACTAGAATGAACTAGAACTGAACTAGAACTGAACTAGAACTGAATGAACTGAACTAGAACTGAACTAAAACTGAACTAGAACTGAACTAGAACTGAACTAGAACTGAACTAGAACTGAACTAGAACTGAACTAGAACTGAACTAGAACTGAACTAGAACTAACTGAACTAGAACTGAACTAGAACTGAACTAGAACTGAACTAGAACTGAACTAGAACTGAACTGGAACTGAACTAGAACTGAACTAGAACTGAACTAGAACTGAACTAGAACTGAACTAGAACTGAACTAGAACTGAACTAGAACTGAACTAGAACTGAACTAGAACTGAACTATAACTGAACCTAGAGCTGAACTAGAACAAAACAAGGACTGGATCTGAAAGAATCGTGTTGGTCAAAATCACAACAGAACTTGGAAGAGATTATATTTCCTCATGATATTATGATCCCTACCATCTCAATATTAAAGAACATTTAGAAGTTGTCAAATACAATTTTACAATCCAAGCCATTTCTTTATCTAGTTTTTATTTCCTCAAAATATTGTGTTTCTTCTAAACCTTTATGGCACTATTTAGAGATAAAAGACGCAACTAAAATTATTTGCAGTATTATGAACATCGTGTGATATCAATTACTTAACAATTAAGACGTAAATAAAAAATTACAAAGATTTCGAATATATATTAAACGAGGGCTGAAGAATTGTTGTCGTTGTCTTAAGAACTTTAAAGAGTTTAATCACTTCGTGCATCCTTTAAGACTTAATCTTTACACCTTTTTATTTAAAAAAATGTTCACTATATTTTTTTATATTCACCATATCATCTGTCATTATTAACACTATATTTGGTCTTGTATCAGAAATATCCTTTGCCGGGATATTCCCTAAACCCCAACAAATTATATATACGAATATCCACGCTTTGAGAAACATTTTCGGTTTTAAATTTTGACTATTCTTTCGAACTTCTTTTTGCTGTGTATGCAATTCACAGACCTCGTCTATGGAATTAAAATCTAGAATACTGTGTTAAAAATGATTGAATTATGTTTTTATTTAAAAATTTTTATTCAACAAAAAGTTCGTTTTCCTATATTTACAGCTGTTGTCTAATTATAAAGTATATTAAGTGTCAATTAAGATAAATAACTTAGTATAATATTTTTACAGGTGCGCCCTAAAAGTAATAAAGGAGAAATTTTCTTGAGTTTGTTGCGCTTTCTTTAACGTTTTATTGTCTTATTTATAGAATCGGGAACTGGGGCAGGGGGTTGGTTTAGCAAAGTTATTGTTTTTCTTATAAATTTGTATAAGAAGGGAGAGAATTTCCTTGGTGATGGGAGGAATAAAATAGGAATGAAGAAGTACTTTATTTTTAAGAAAGGGCGAAAGATATTTATGAACTAGAACTGAACTGGAACTGAACTAGAACTGAACTAGAACTGAACTAGAACTGAACTAGAACTGAACTAGAACTGAACTAGAACTGAACTAGAACTGAACTAGAACTGAACTAGAACTGAACTAGAACTGAACTAGAACTGAACTAGAACTGAACTAGAACTGAACTAGAACTGAACTAGAACTGAACTAGAACTGAACTAGAACTGAACTAGAACTGAACTAGAACTGAACTAGAACTGAACTAGAACTGAACTAGAACTGAACTAGAACTGAACTAGAACTGAACTAGAACTGAACTAGAACTAGAACTGAACTAGAACTGAACTAGAACTGAACTAGAACTGAACTAGAACTGAACTAGAACTGAACTAGAAACTGAACTAGAACTGAACTAGAACTGAACTAGAACTGAACTAGAACTGAACTAGAACTGAACTAGAACTGAACTAGAACTGAACTAGAACTGAACTAGAACTGAACTAGAGCTGAACTAGAACTGAACTAGAAACTGAACTAGAACTGAACTAGAACTGAACTAGAACTGAACTAGAACTGAACTAGAACTGAACTAGAACTAAACTAGAACTGAACAAGAACTGAATGATTAAAAACTTGATTTTTGATAAACAATTTCATTTATTTAAAATCAACTTAAATTCTAACAAAAAATCTAACTGATATATTGACTACCATTTTATCATCCTCTTCATCACGGGCAAGTCACATATAGCATTATGCACAGGTATGGCCAATAGAGCAGCCGATGTAATACCTATAGAATCCGATTGTATAACAATAGACAAGGCAAATTTTCTTCTTTGCATTGGAATTTCATGAGACATTCTATAGAAAGTATTAACATAGGCCCCGCCACCCAGCAGACCCTCCCAGAATACAATCGCAAAAGTAAACCAGATGAGAGGTGTGAAAGGAAAAATGGCTTCTGCCAAGAAATACAAAACATTAATAAATTGCAGAACAGCCATTAACCAGGTCTTCTTAAAATGCACTATATTAACCGATGATCTAGCTACAAATACACCCAGCTGATAGTCCACATTAAGCCAACGATATTGGGAGGGTCGCTCCAAAAAACTATTTTCGAAGTAAACCAATTCATACTAGAAAAGAAAAACAAGATATTGATTTCTATTAGAATATAATATGAGGAGTTAACATACCAAACCCTGATTTATAAAGTATTCAAAGAAATACACTAAAACCAAAGGTACCATATATTTGAGCAGTTCCTTGGCATAGCTTAACTTTTGACTAAACTCCTCCAATTGATGCAAAAGTATTTCTTTGGAATATACTACCCTTAACTTTTGTTTCGGTGACCTCAAAAGTAACCAAAAAGATAAGGCCTCCAGCAAGGGAAAGATTAACATAATCAGCATGGTATCACGATTACTAATGTGAAACGATCTTAAAGTGGCATAGGAAAGGGAGCCTATAACACCGGCAGCTCCAGTACCAGAGGACCAAGTGGATACCACATTTCTGAAATGTTTTGTTATTTAAATTGTTTAATGGATTATTATTTGCCATAAAGAAAACTCACTTATTAAACTGTGAGGAATATGATACAAATTTCGCTTCTCCTATACCCCCACTAGCCGAGGTTATAGCTATGCCCAAAATTGCCAACCATTCGGTTTTGGCAAAACCCACAAAAAGAAACCCAGCAGCGGAGAAGACTACAGCTGAAATAATATAAAAACTTTGTGGAATAGTTTTAAGGATTAATTGTATTCCTAGTTTAATTAAAAATTATTCACCCACTTTAACCAATAAGGCAGGAAAGGTAAAATTATTTTGAAAAACAAGGTAGGCAAAATATCCGCCAATAATATAGCTCCCGTAGAGATATACTGGCAATCTCTTACAGCTTTGGTTTCGGTGTTATTTGCAAAGCGGGTTATGTGCTAAAAAGAATCCATTTAATAGAAATCCCTGAATTGTTAATACTTGTCTTACCTCCTCATGAAATTGTCCTATAATATCATGAGCGGCACTTAACATAACCGTGTAACCATAATTATTACAAAGACCAAGTATCCAAAACGCTGTCAAGTCTCTCCATAAACCTTTATCTTCCAATTCTTCTGGCTCTTCATGATTTTCGCTGGACATTTTATTATTTAATTCACAAAGATCTTTCAAATTTTTTATTGTTATAAAATTTTTAAATGTTTTATAAAATTGTCATATAAAAATTGTAAAAGATTAAGAAAATTCCAGTTTGGGGCTTTGAACTACATTGTCAAAAGAGAATCACAATCGGGGTTTCAAAAGAACCACCGATTGTTCTAGAACTGAACTAGAACTGAACTAGAACTGAACTGGAACTGAACTAGAACTGAACTAGAACTGAACTAGAACTAGAATAGAACTGAACTAGAACTGAACTAGAACTGAACTAGAACTGAACTAGAACTGAACTAGAACTGAACTAGAACTGAACTAGAACTGAACTAGAACTGAACTAGAACTGAACTAGAACTGAACTAGAACTGAACTAGAACTGAACTAGAACTGAACTAGAACTGAACTAGAACTGAACTAGAACTGAACTAGAACTGAACTAGAACTGAACTAGAACTGAACTAGAACTGAACTAGAAGGAACTGAACTAGAACTGAACTAGAACTGAACTAGAACGAACTAGAACTGAACTAGAACTGAACTAGAACTGAACTAGAACTGAACTAGAACTGAACTAGAACTGAACTAGAACTGAACTAGAACTGAACTAGAACTGAACTAGAACTGAACTAGAACTGAACTAGAACTGAACTAGAACTGAACTAGAACTGAACTAGAACTGAACTAGAACTGAACTAGAACTGAACTAGAACTGAACTAGAACTGAACTAGAACTGAACTAGAACTGAACTAGAACTGAACTAGAACTGAACTAGAACTGAACTGAACTAGAACTGAACTAGAACTGAACTAGAACTGAACTAGAACTGAACTAGACTGAACTAGAACTGAACTAGAACTGAACTAGAACTGAACTAGAACTGAACTAGAACTGAACTAGAACTGAACTAGAACTGAACTAGAACTGAAACTAGAACTGAACTTGAACTGAATAGAACTGAACTAGAACTGAACTAGAACTGAACTAGAACTTGAACTAGAACGGTACTAGAACTGAACTAGAAGCTGATATTGGAACTTAGCAAAATAATACTCTCAATATTGGCTTCACTTCTTAATACAACAAGGACCACTACTGTTCTTATCTTTTATAAAAGTGAAAGCCTATTTTAAAGGCTTGTAATATATATTGTTTTGTATTTTCTAATTGTTTTTTTTAATTTCACTACATGTTTATTAAATTTTGTTTTCGTCTTTTCGATCATCTTACAACTACGTATTAAATTCTTAACATTTTAACTATAAACCAATTATAGTTAAATTTACATAGATCTTTCCTTTTGGGACAGTCCTTAAAAATTAATGTACACAACAAGCTACATTTAACGTTTTACACATTTAAACTAAATTAAAACTAAATCAATAATTACTAATACTGGCTTGCCGCCTTTACCACGTGACACTTCTCACAGCTGCCGGTAAAGCACAAATGGCATTATGCACTGGAATGGCTAGAAAACCGGCCAAAGCAATACCATACGAATCTGACTGAACCACCATGGCCATGGCAAATTGTCGCCTACCGGGAGGTATTTCCTTAGACATTCTATAGAAGGTATTAACATAGGCACCACCGCCCAACAGACCCTCCCACAAGACAATGACAAACGTAATCCAGATGCTGGGTGTATAGAAGTAGATGACCTCGGTAAGGAAATAGACCACATTGACTAATTGGAACACGGACATTAACCAAATCTTGTCCAATTGGAAGATATTAACCGAGGAGCGGGAGATGAAAACACCAATTTGATAGTCCACATTAAGCCACCTGTATTGAGAAGCCTGTCCAGGAAAGTGTTTTCAAAGAAAACCAATTCAAACTGGAAATAAAGATAAAGATTATAATTAAGCTTATAATTCCTTTAACTAAGGAAACCATACCAATCCTTGATTTATGAAATACTCAAAGAAATACACCAACGCCAAAGGTACCATATATTTGACCAAGTTTTTGATATAGAAAAACTTTTCCTTGAAACCTTGCAGAGGTTTATCGTCTATTATCAGTTCCTCGGTAGATTCTACCGCTGTCACAGGCAAAACAGAAGGTTTCCTCAACAAAATCCAAAATGATAAGGCCTCTATGAAGGGGAATATTAACATTATCAACATGGTATCTCGAGGACTGACATTTAGGGATCTTAAGGTGGCATATGACAGAGAGCCAATAACACCAGCACCCCCAGTACCAGAAGACCAGGTGGACACTACGTTCTGTAAGAAATGTGCAGGAAATTAGAATATGTTTATGATTTATTTTTGAAGAATGAAATTTACTTGTTAAAGTGGGAGGAATAGGCTAGGAATGTTGTTTCTCCTATGCCAGAACTAGCGGAGGTGATAATAACACCCAGTAGGGCCATCCATTCAGCATTGGCGAAACCCACAAAAAGAAACCGGCAGCAGAGAAGAGTACAGCTGTAGCTATGCGAAACTGGAAGAGATAAGAAAAATTGATAAGTTGAAGGACTAGAAGCTGAACTAGTTACTAACTAGAACTGAACTAGACACTGAAATAGAACTGACTAGAACTGAACTAGAACTGAACTAGAACCTGAACTAGATGAACTAGAATGACACTAGAACTGAAACTAGAACTGAACTAGGAACTGAACTAGAACTGAACTAGAACTGACTAGAACAGAACTAGAACTGACTAGAAAACTGAACTAGAACTGAACTAGACTGAACTAGAACTGGAACTAGAACTGACTAGAACTAGAACTGAACTAGAACTGAACTAGAAACTGAACTAGAACTGAACTAGAACAGAACTAGAACTGAACTAGAACTGAACTAGAACTGAACTAGAACTGAACTAGAACTGAACTAGAACTAGAACTAGAACTGAAACTAGAACATGAACTAGAACTGAACTAGAACTGAACTAGAAACTCGAAACTAGAACTGAACTAGAACTGAACTAGAACTTGAACTAGACACTGAACTAGGAACTGAAACTGACTGAACTAGAACTGAACTAGAACTGAACTAGAACGAACTCGAAATGAACTAGAACTGAATAGAACTGAACTAGATGAACTAGAACTGACTAGAACTGAACTAGAACTGACTAGAACTGGAACTAGAACTGAACTAGAACTGAACCGATCTGAACTAGATCTGAACTAGAACTGAACTAGAACTGAAACTAGAACTGAACTAGAACTGAACTAGAACTGAACTAGAACTGAACTAGAACTGAACTAGAACTGAACTAGACTGACTAGAACTGACTAGAACTGAACTAGAACTGAAACTAGACACTGAACTAGAACTGAACTAGAACTGAACTAGAACTGAACTAGAACTGAATAAACTGAACTAGAACTGAACTAGAACTGAACTAGAAACTGAACTAGAACTGAACTAGAACTGAACGAGAACTGAACTAGAACTGAACTAGACTGAACTAGAACTGAACTAGAACTGAACTAGAACTGAACTAGAACTGAACTAGAACTGAAACTAGAACTGACTAGACTGAACTAGAACTGAACTAGAACTGACTAGAACTGAACTAGAACTGAACTAGAACTGAACTAGAACTGAACTAACGAACTATGAACTAGAACTGAACTAGAACTGAACTAGAACTGAACTAGAACTGAACTAGAACTGAACTAGAACTGAACTAGAACTGAACTAGAACTGACTAGAACTAGAAACCTGAACTAGAACTGAACTAGACTGAACTAACTGAACTAGAACTGAACTAGAACTGAACTAAGAAGCTGAACTAAACTGAACTAGAACTTAACTAGAACTGGAATAGAACTGAACTAGAACTGAACTAGCAACTGAATACTAGAACTGAACTAGAACTGAACTAGAACTGAACTAGAACTGAATAGAACTAACTAGAAACTGAACTAGAACAGAGCTTGAACTAAGCTCATTCTTTTCTTAATACTTACTGCACCCAAAACGGAAGAAGGGCATTATTACTTTACAAATAGTGAGGGCAGAATATCAGCCAATAAAATAGCACCCGTTGAAACATATGACATTCTCGACATTACCGCCTTCATTACCAGTTAGAACGATGGTTCCTGGAATTAAAGAAATAGTATATATTAGTTGATCCTTTTTCCCTTTAAAGAATTGATTTGAACTTACATCATGATGAAATTGTCCTATAATATCATGAGCTGCACTTAACATTACCACATAACCATAATTGTTGCATAAACCCAAAATCCAATAGGAGGTTAGATCCCGCCATAAACTCTTATCTTTGCGCAGATTGTGAGCATCAACAGGTGGCGCCACCACCACTTCTTGACTAGTGGAAGCCATTTGGAATTCAAAACTGAAAGGGAGAGATGTTTGAGTTACAGATACTTTATTTACTGAAAATTCTTAATTGGTTACAGTATTCAATTTTAACTGTTGATATTAAAAAACATTATAGTCACGTTTGCTTTTACTAAAAATACCGGCATCAAACTTAATTGCTTTACAAAATATATATTTTTATTTTCTTAATTATTCTGCTAAATTAGTTCGTTTGTTTTTATTAATTTGTAGAAAAACGTGAGCTATCTTGAAACACTATTCTTAAAATATTCTTTTAAATTTAATATTTAAAACAAACTTTTCAATATCTCTCTGAATTAAATTAAAATTCATAATTTATTTAACAACAACAAAAAAAAAATCACACAAAATTTAAAATAGTTTATATGCAAATCACATTTAATCACTAAAGAATAGTAAACACCTTCAATTTGTGAAAAAAAGTATTCAAAATATATTTTGTGCTAAATTAGTCAACAAAAACCCGTGAAATTTAGAATCCATTCAGAATCAACTAAAATTCAATAGAGCGTTGGCTAACGACAATTATTTTGTTAATTTTTGATGCCTTTAAATAAGCTATTTACAGGTAAACAATTTTAATTATTTTTTAGTGCAAAAAACAGATTCAACGGAAGTTTTTTTTCAACATTAAACTAAATTAGTTACGAAAGGGCGTTTAATTACTTTTTACATTAATATATAAAAAAATTATTATTAGAGGGTGTTTAGAATTTTTAATTAGTTTTAGTTATTTAAAGGTGTCTTCAAAGTGTCGTCTAAAGTCAAGTTTAAGGTCTTAGTTACATATTAGGGTCTATAAGGGTGCTTCCGTCAAGCAGTTGCCTCGGCAAAGGTTAAAGGTAATAAATGTTTACTAAATTGTTATGATCTAATCTATAGTCTAGTCTATAGTGTAGTCTATAGTGTAGTCTTTAGTGTAGTCTATAGTGTAGTCTATAGTGTAGTCTATAGTGTAGTCTGTAGTGTAGTCTATAGTGTAGTCTATAGGTAGTCTATTGTGTAGTCTATAGTCTAGTCTATAGTCTAGTCTATAGTCTAGTCTATAGTCTAGTCTATAGTCTAGTCTAGTCTATAGTCTAGTCTATAGTCTAGTCTATAGTCTAGTCTATAGTCTAGTCTATAGTCTAGTCTATAGTCTAGTCTATAGTCTAGTCTATAGTCTAGTCTATAGTCTAGTCTATAGTCTAGTCTATAGTCTAGTCTATAGTCTAGTCTATAGTCTAGTCTATAGTCTAGTCTATAGTCTAGTCTATAGTCTAGTCTATAGTCTAGTCTATAGTCTAGTCTATAGTCTAGTCTATAGTCTAGTCTATAGTCTAGTCTATAGTCTAGTCTAGTAGTCTATAGTCTAGTCTATAGTCTAGTCTATAGTCTAGTCTATAGTCTAGTCTATAGTCTAGTCTATAGTCTAGTCTATAGTCTAGTCTATAGTCTAGTCTATAGTCTAGTCTATAGTCTAGTCTATAGTCTAGTCTATAGTCTAGTCTATAGTCTAGTCTATAGTCTAGTCTATAGTCTAGTCTATAGTCTAGTCTAGTCTAGTCTATAGTCTAGTCTATAGTCTAGTCTATAGTCTAGTCTATAGTCTAGTCTATAGTCTAGTCTATAGTCTAGTCTATAGTCTAGTCTATAGTCTAGTCTATAGTCAGTCTATAGTCTAGTCCATAGTCTAGTCTATAGTCTAGTCTATAGTCTAGTCTATAGTCTAGTCTATAGTCTAGTCTATAGTCTAGTCTATAGTCTAGTCTATAGTCTAGTCTATAGTCTAGTCTATAGTCTAGTCTATAGTCTAGTCTATAGTCTAGTCTATAGTCTAGTCTATAGTCTAGTCTATAGTCTAGTCTATAGTCTAGTCTATAGTCTAGTCTATAGTCTAGTCTATAGTCTAGTCTATAGTCTAGTCTATAGTCTAGTCTATAGTCTAGTCTATAGTCTAGTCTATAGTCTAGTCTATAGTCTAGTCTATAGTCTAGTCTATAGTCTAGTCTATAGTCTAGTCTATAGTCTAGTCTATAGTCTAGTCTATAGTCTAGTCTATAGTCTAGTCTATAGTCTAGTCTATAGTCTAGTCTATAGTCTAGTCTATAGTCTAGTCTATAGTCTAGTCTATAGTCTAGTCTATAGTCTAGTCTATAGTCTAGTCTATAGTCTAGTCTATAGTCTAGTATAGTCTAGTCTATAGTCTAGTCTATAGTCTAGTCTATAGTCTAGTCTATAGTCTAGTCTATAGTCTAGTCTATAGTCTAGTCTATAGTCTAGTCTATAGTCTAGTCTATAGTCTAGTCTATAGTCTAGTCTATAGTCTAGTCTATAGTCTAGTCTATAGTCTAGTCTATAGTCTAGTCTATAGTCTAGTCTATAGTCTAGTCTATAGTCTAGTCTATAGTCTAGTCTATAGTCTAGTCTATAGTTGTCTAAGTCTAGTATAGACTCTGTTCTATATTTAGTTATAGTCTAGTCTATAGCCTATAGTCTGGTCTATAGTCTAGTCTATAGTCTAGTCTATAGTCTAGTCTATAGTCTAGTCTATAGTCTAGTCTATAGTCTAGTCTATAGTCTAGTCTATAGTCTAGTATAGTCTATAGTCTAGTTAGTCTAGTATATAGTCTAGTCTATAGTCTAGTTATAGTCTAGTCTATAGTCTAGTCTATAGTCTAGTCTATAGTCTAGTCTATAGTCTAGTCTATAGTCTAGTCTAGTCTATAGTCTAGTCTATAGTCTAGTATAGTCTAGTCTATAGTCTAGTTTATAGTCTAGTCTATAGTCTAGTTATAGTCTAGTAATAGTCTAGTCTATAGTCTAGTCTATAGTCTAGTCTATAGTCTAGTCTATAGTCTAGTCTATAGTCTAGTCTATAGTCTAGTCTATAGTCTAATCTATAGTCTAGTCTATAGTCAAATCTATAGTCTAGTCTATAGTCTTGTCTAAAGTCTAGTATAGACTCTGTTCTATAGTTTAGTTTATAGTCTAGTCTATAGTCTGGTCTATAGTCTGGTCTATAGTCTGGTCTATAGTCTAGTCTATAGTATTGTCTTAAGTCTAGTATATAGTCTATTCTATAGTTTAGTCTATAGTCTAGTGTATGGTCTATTTATTATTATTATTATTATTATTATTATTATTATTATTATTATTATTATTATTATTTCCAACTTTTCTTTATAATTGGGTATAATTCTTCTACTAGTTCCATTGTTACTTTTTTGTTATTTTTATTTTTTAAATCTTGACCTTTTTATTTTAAAAATTTTATGTTTTTGCCCGTATTTCTTTCTTTTGTTTTATTTTACTTTTTTAAAAGATATTAAAATTATAAACAATGGTATATTTAGACTTTAAACAATTCAAGTCTTATCACTCACTTTATTTATTAATTGCACCAAAAATAAACAAAACACTTGTATCTTTTATAACTTGTAGTTAAAATTTTATTTTGTCGTTTTTTAAAATTAAACGCACTTTTTAAAAATTGTATTCACGCGTTAGTTTTGATTTTTTTTTTTTTTCAAAATATTTTCTTTTGTTGTGTATTGTAGATCAACAACACACAACCAACTCAAACGAGTCACAATAGTAACTGAAATTTATTATTAATTAACATTTAGTTAATATACTACACATGAAAATGAGCCAACAGATCTTGCTCACTAAAATTAAAAACAAAGTACTCACTCTCTCTCTCTCTCTTCTCTCTCTCTTTCTCTCGCTGTTTGCTTTATCAGTAGTTCAGTAGCATTGATTTCAATTAATATTTTTTTTTCTTAATTAATACATATTATTGCTAACTAACCTTTATTTAAAAACATTTGTTCTAGTTTTTTTATTAATGTGGAAAATATTTTATTTAAATAATATTTTTAGTAATAAAATGGCTTAAAGCCAAAATTTCTTTAAAGTCTCTCATTTTGGCTTGCATTTACTCATTTAGGGGGTCAATCTTTCAAAGAGAGCGTCTTAAGAAAAAGGAAATTTTGTTTCAAAAGATCTCTAGTAAAACCTCCCACGAAAAACATCTGTTCATGTAACTCGTTTTTTACAACCTCTTTATTATTGTTTACCTTTTGTTGTTGTATTCTATTACATACTTTCTTTAAAAGAGAATTTAGAGAGAAATTAAGCAAGGGAAATTTGGAAAAATTTTGAACTCAAGTTAATCCGTGCTTCTTCTTTGCTGTAAATAAATCTCTTTTGAAACTGGTTTCTACTCTCTCTCAGATTATAAATGTTTACATTTTGTTGTAGTTTGAACTCGCTTTCTACCTGTGTGATGTGCACCAAGGATGGAAAATTCAGTAATATGAAACTTCAATAGTCTAGCCTGTAGTTTAATCTAGTCTATAGTCTAGTTTATAGTCTAGTCTATAGTCTAGTTTATAGTCTAGTCTATAGTCTAGTCTATAGTCTAGTCTATAGTCTAGTCTATAGTCTAGTCTATGGTCTAGTCTATAGTCTAGTCAATAGTCTAGTCTATAGTCTAGTCTATAGTCTAGTCTATAGTCTAGTCTATAGTCTAGTCTACAGTCTAGTCTATAGTCTAGTCTTAGTCTATAGTCTAGTCTATAGTCTAGTCTATAGTCTAGGTCTATAGTCTAGTCAATAGTCTAGTCTATAGTCTAGTCTATAGTCTAGTCTATAGTCTAGTCTATAGTCTAGTCTATAGTCTAGTCTATAGTCTAGTCTATAGTCTAGTCTATAGTCTAGTCTATAGTCTAGTCTATAGTCTAGTCTATAGTCTAGTCTATAGTCTAGTCTATAGTCTAGTCTATAGTCTAGTCTATAGTCTAGTCTATAGTCTAGTCTATAGTCTAGTCTATAGTTCTAGTCTATAGTCTAGTCTATAGTCTAGTCTATAGTCTAGTATAGCCTAGTCTATAGTCTGTCTATAGCCTAGTCTATGTAGTCATATGTCTAGTCTCATAGTCTAGTCTATAGTCTAGTCTATAGTCTAGTCTATAGTCTAGTCTATTAGTCTAGTCTATAGTCTAGTCTATAGTCTAGTCCTATAGTCGATCTATAGTCTAGTCTATAGTCTAGTCTATAGTCTAGTCTATAGTCTAGTCTATAGTCTAGTCTATAGTCTAGTCTATGTCTAGTCTATAGTCTAGTCTATGGTCTAGTCTATAGTCTAGTCTATAGTCTAGTCTATAGTCTAGTCTATAGTCTAGTCTATAGTCTAGTCTATAGTCTAGTCTATAGTCTAGAGTATAGTCTAGTCTATAGTCTAGTCTGTAGTCTGGTCTATAGTCTGTCTATAGTTTAGTCTATAGTCTAGTTATTGTCTAGTCTATAGTCTAGTCTATTGTCTAGTCTATAGTCTAGTCTATTGTCTAGTCTATTGTCTAGTCTATAGTCTAGTCTATAGTCTAGTCTTCAGACTTGTCTTGTCTAGTATATAGTGTTGACTCTAGTCTAGACTATAGTATGGTATATAGTCTAGATTATAGTCTATTGTCTAGTCTATAGTCTAGTCAATAGTCTAGTCTATAGTCTAGTCTATAGTCTAGTCTAGTCTAGTCTATAGTCTAGTTTATAGTCTAGTCTATAGTCTAGTCTATAGTCTAGTCTATAGTCTAGTTTATAGTCTAGTCTATAGTCTAGTATAGTGTAGACTCTAGTCTAGACTATAGTTTAGTCTATAGTCTAGTCTATAGTCTAGTCTATAGTCTAGTCTATAGTCTAGTCTATAGTCTAGTCTATAGTCTAGTCTATAATCTAGTCTATAGTCTAGTCTATAGTCTAGTCTATATTCTAGTCTATAGTCTAGTATATAGTCTAGTCTAGCGTCTATAGTCTAGTCTATAGTCTAGTCTATAGTCTAGTCTATAGTCTAGTCTATAGTCTAGTCTATCGTCTAGTCTATAGTCTAGTCTATAGTCTAGTCTATAGTCTAGTCTATAGTCTAGTCTATAGTCTAGTCTATAGTCTAGTCTATAGTCTAGTCTATAGTCTAGTCTATAGTCTAGTCTATAGTCTAGTCTATAGTCTAGTCTATAGTCTAGTCTATAGTCTAGTCTATAGTCTAGTCTATAGTCTAGTCTATAGTCTAGTCTATAGTCTAGTCTATAGCCTAGCCTATAGTCAATTGTCTGACCAATAGTCTTCTTATGTTGATTTAAGTTGATACTATTTCAAAGTTTTGTTTTCCATCCCTGATATGTACTGCAATTAGTGTGTAAGTGCGTTGCTTGAGCATATTAACTTGTGTTTTGTTGTTGTTGTACTGTGAAGATGTGTTACATTGTTTTGTTGTTGCTTTTATTACATTGTCATATTAATGCCTGTTATTACTTGTACACTTAAAGAAATTTCTTGAAAACTTTGCAATAATTTCTATATAATTGCAATTCTTATCATAAAACAACACTTGTAAATCAGTTTTTAAGATAAAAATTTTTAAATAAATAATAAAATTGAAACTTAATTTTATTTATTTAATTCATTATTTTAAAGTGTTTGATTAATTTATAATAATTTCAAAGATAATAAAAAGCGTTAGTATTATTTTTTACTTTAAATAAAAAAAACAATTAAATTTAATCTGACATTAAGTTTAGTATACAAAATTTCAATAAATTTATATGTTTTATTGATTTGCGTAAATAAAATAACAACTTGTAAGCAAATAATCTAATCTTTTAATAAAACTTTTATGTTTGTAACAAAACACAATTATAATCGAAAACTATAAAAAATCTTGATTAAAAAGTCGTTAACATTTGAAATAAAATTTAGCACAAAATTTATAATTATAGCTTGGTAACATGAACAAATAGTTGATCAAGTAATTAAAGCAAAAGTTTATTTTGAGACTCTATGGTCTTCCCGTTATTAAGGTTGACCTTTTTTCATACTAAATCCTGAAAGATTTATCTGTTTTCTATTAATGCTAAAAATCTTGTAAAAATAACTTTTTTATAGTAAAAGTTATAATTAATTAAAAATATAAATATTTTAAAACTAACAGTACGTATGATTGATATTAATTATGGAGTAAAATTCTTTAAAATTCAAAAACTTTTTATATAAAATAAGTATTTATGAAATTTAAAAAGAGTTTAATAGACAACATTTTAAAGTATTTGAAAAGTCATAAAAAAATTTTATCATTCTGCTAAAAATGTTAGAAAATTAGAAGAATATATTATTTTTGTTTAACATTTTAAAATATATTTTTTTTTTTTAACTTTTCTGTTTTAAACTTTTCTATTTAATTTTTTTAATTTATTTTGCTGTCTGTCAAAACCAAAACTTCATAAATACAAAATTTAACACTTTTTTGGTCGTTCAAAGATTTATTATGCATATATGGCCAAATGTTGGGCTTATCTTTGTCATAAAACTCACAGTTTATGACAAGTATTTAGGCAGTTTGTGTGATAATTTAATAAATATTTATACATTTTATAGTCCAAGCTAGATAACATTTTTAAAAACATTTCTAAGATGTTAGGAATTGAGGAACAGTGGGTGAGAAAAGTAAAAGTACATATATTAAAAAATATACAAATTTGATTATTAATCAATAAATTTAAATTTATAGTAAATTGATAGACAAGATTAGACTAGACTATAGACTAGACTGTAGACTAGACTATAGACTAGACTGTTGACTAGACTATAGACTAGACTATAGACTAGACTGTAGACTAGACTATAGACTAGACTATAGACTAGACTATAGACTAGACTATAGACTAGACTATAGACTAGACTATAGACTAGACTATAGACTAGACTATAGACTAGACTATAGACTAGACTATAGACTAGACTATAGACTAGACTATAGACTAGACTATAGACTACACTATAGACTAGACTATAGACTACACTATAGACTAGACTATAGGTAGACTATAGACTAGACTATAGACTAGACTATAGACTAGACTATAGACTAGACTATAGACTAGACTATAGACTAGACTATAGACTAGACTATAGACTAGACTATAGACTAGATTATAGACTAGGCTATAGTTAGTTATAGTAGTTAGTTGTTATTTAGTTAGTTAGTTAGTTAGTTAGTAGTAGACAGTAGTTAGTTAGTTAGTTAGTTAGTTAGTTAGTTAGTTAGTTAGTTAGTTAGTTAGTTAGTAGTTAGTTAGTTAGTTAGTTAGTTAGTTAGTAGTTAGTTAGTTAGTTAGTTAGTTAGTTAGTTAGTTAGTTAGTTAGTTAGTTAGTTAGTTAGTAGTAGTTAGTAGTTTAGTTAGTAGTTAGTTAGTTAGTTAGTTAGTTAGTTAGTTAGTTAGTTAGTAGTTAGTTAGTTAGTAGTTAGTTAGTTAGTTAGTTAGTTAGTTAGTAGTTAGTTAGTTAGTTAGTTAGTTAGTTAGTTAGTTAGTTAGTTAGTTAGTTAGTAGTTAGTTAGTTAGTTAGTTAGTTAGTTAGTTAGTTAGTTAGTTAGTTAGTTAGTTAGTTAGTTAGTTAGTTAGTAGTTAGTTAGTTAGTTAGTAGTTAGTTAGTAGTTAGTTAGTTAGTTAGTTAGTTAGTTAGTTAGTTAGTTAGTTAGTTAGTTAGTTAGTTAGTAGTTAGTTAGTTAGTTAGTTAGTTAGTTAGTTAGTTAGT